TTAATAAATTTACTAAAATCTTTTACCAACAAGGATTGCTTTTTGTAAACAAAACAAGTTCCCTTTTCATATTACTTTATTGAGAGTATTAAAAAGCACTTCCTCACTCAACTTCGAGTTCGCTTTGATTCTCTATAATATATGAATTGGTTGTTGTACTTTATTTGGCCTTGGCAATGCATCAAAATGTTCCATTCCTTTCCCTTTTGGATGTTGTGTTGTATCTGCTGTGTCGAAATCTGATTGAGTTATTGAGCTAAAATTCCCCAGAGCTTCCATTTATTGTTGTGCACATCACAATCGTAATAATAATCGTATATTTTTATGCGGCAGATAGAAGCCCGGGAGTCCATAAAAAGGCAGCTTTGGTTTAGGGGTTTTAACCTGAAAGGCTTTAATGCGATTTGTGCACATTAATCATACGCCATGATGCACAGTACTAAAACCAATAACGAGGATTTATACTAATAATATTCGTTCGTGGGCGGCTTTTGGGAAAACTTATTACGGTCATTTGATAGCAAGAGAGAGTGCAAGTTTGGCAGACAATGAAATCGAATTTCATTAAATTAGCAGGAGCGACTTGAACAAGGACACGACGACTCCTTCTATTGGATGCTCGAATCAATGACCGAAACAACAACAACAACAACAAACGGGGTGCCTTTAACAAAAGCAAATACAACGAAGAACTTTTTGCAAGGTGGAGAAAACAATCGATAGAAGAACATTCATCCCAAAGGGCGATTCATTGACAATTTGCCATGGAGAATCTGAAGTTTTTGGCACCTGATTGGGGAGTCGAAAAAAAAGAAAGAAACTGCGTAGGAGAAATATCTTCGGCACTTTCCACTTCTCTCTGCTCGCTTTATTGTTTGCAATTTGTTTTTAGCTGCCCGAGCAAACAGAACTTTATTTTTATGGCTCAACCTGAGGCCAGGACACCATTGAACACGCCTTTTGCTCCTCTTTTTTTTTGTTGTTGTTTGTGCCACCCAGAGGCTAAAAATAAACCGAGACGTGCCGCTCTATTTATAGCCCTCGGCATATAGAGACCATAACACTTGGCGGCAACAACTAATGCCGATTGCCATAACCGAGAAATCGTGGATGAATCGCATTGACATTTAAGCTGCCACAAATTGCTTTTCTGCGGTGGCAACTCCTTTTGCTTTCTGAATTCCTGGGTTTCTGCCACACCTCGTCGGCCTTTTTGGGTTTGGTCATGTGTGTGTCCTTTCTTCGCTTTCTCGGCATTCGTCTGTGGCTTATCGGGGCATTTACATAACGAAAAATGAAATTTTCAAATTATAACAAATTGAATTTGGGCAAAGCGTAGCACGAGTAGAACAAAAGTGGCAGGGAAAGCCAGCTAAAGCGGATAACCAACGAGGAGAGGCTCACGGAGCTCCTCTAAATATTGACATATGCCATAGGCATGGGAAATTGGGAAATGGGAAATGGAAAAGGAGAAGGTAAAACAGGTGGAACGCAAGATGTCCAAGGGGATTTACTAAGGGATTTCATCGGACACAGTTTGCTAGAGAAATTGACAGAGAAACGGAATTATTGGATTTATGTATTAAAGGAATTCGAGGTCTTCCTTGAAGGAATTATGTAGCTACAACAGTTTATTATAGAAAAAAGTAAAAAAAATATATATAAAGTTTATAAAGTATAGTAAAATGTATATATAAAGTATTGGAGATTTCTTAAGAAAAAAATAGAATCAAAAAGCAGGCTACGTGTAAAATTCATAAACATTTAGGTTTTCATATACTTGATATTCATATTTCTATTGACATTGATAACAAATAAATAAACAAATATTATAAAATAAATATTAATTATATATTAAGTTTATAAAGTATAGTAAAATGTATATATAAAGTTTATAAAGAATAGTAGATTTCTTAAGAAAAGATAAAAACAATCAGCAGGCTACGTGTACAATTTATTAATATTTAGGTTTTCATATATGTATTTGATATTCATATTTTTAATGATACTGAAAACAAATAAATAAATATATATTATAAAATAAATATTATATATATAGTATTAAATTTGGATGTATTAGAAATCAAAATACATTTCACCTCCTTTTAAAACTTTGTGGCAAAAACAACGTAAACCAGGGAAACTACTCCTTGAAAGCGTCTGTCTAATCGGAATCTCTTCTCCAGTTCAATGAATCCTCAATCGGCTGTTGTCTGGAGTTGCGAACCAGTTCCAATCGGATGCACTCCGCATCCTTGTATCCTTGTGTCCTTGTTGCCCAATCAGTCACCCAGCTACGTGCCCTGCTCAACATGTTGCCTTGTTGCGTTGTTGTGGAGGCGCCTCCGCATCGCATTCGCGGCACATTTTGCTGTCTTTTGATCGGCGGACGCCATTTCTTTGCCGTCTGTTCGACAGCCTCAACTTCCATGGAGCCCTCCCTGTATTCTTTTTTTTTTTTGTATTTATGCGTTGATGTTTTACGTGCCCGAAATGCCAAGAGAACGACTTTCCTGCCCGTACGAATTGTATGTGCAAATGTTCGCTTTCCGTATGTGCGATGATTGTACGTGTAGAGTTTATATTGTGCAAATGCTGGCCAAAAACCAGAGGAATGAATGGCGAGGTAACTCGGTTAGATGTTGCCGAAAAATGTATGTATGACCCTGGAAAAAAGGGTTAGCATGGCAAATGAATTTATGTGGTTTGCCGTTTTGTTCTCTTTTGAGTTTCGGGTTACCATATTTGTGTATTCGATTCCATTCGTCAAATGCAGAAAGTGAATTTAGTGTTTTGTGGCTGCCTTTTTTTTTTTTTTCTCATTTTCCGGCTTCCGTTCTCCGGTTTCGTTCGTTTCTGGTTTTTTCTGTGTGTTATTAAAGCATGGCAAAAATATTGACGCAACCATTAACAAAAGCTTTTAGTGCAAATACAGCTGGCAGTGGCACATAGCCATCGGCGATGCCATCGTCGTCGAAAAGGCAGCAGGAGCAGCAGGAGCAGCAGGAGCAGGAGCAGCAGAGTTAAAAGGACGCTCGTCACTTTGACAGTCCTGTCGTTTTCGAGCGTGGCTTTGTGTGTCGCGCTGCGTTGCACATTTCCATTTGCATTGTTGCCCCAGCTCCTCCCACACTTGCCTCCGAAAAAAACCCCCCGAAGGTTAGAGGAGCAGCCGGGTGGCAAATGGTCAACGGGCTATCTATTTTAGCTGCCCTGCAGGTTGGCTGTCCTGCAGAGCAAACGCTTCTCTTGCTGCCGTTCCACATTCACATTGGCATGTGGAATTGCCTGGCCCAACAGCAACATCCTCTGGAGCAACAACAACAGCAACATCCATTGCAATAGCAACAACAACAACAAACAATCTACAGTACATTGTTGACGTGCATTTGTGTTTCGTGTCATGCAGGCTCTGCCTGTGGCTTTGATTTGACTTTCAGTTGCCAATTCAAATGGTTCTCGCCAAGGACAAACAGCTTTAAGTCCGAACTCTGACAGTATTGTGATGCAAATATTAAAAGGATATTCAGACAGTTTAGCCTGAGCAAATGCATTCACAGAGTAATCTCAGCTTAATGCTTGATTTGATTTGAGAAAGGAAAGTAATTACTAGATTTATATTGATTCGAACTTCTTGTCTGAATGTGAAAAGATGCATGCATAAATAAATCGAACTTTTTAAGGTATTTTGTTAAAATGAAATCAGTCAATAAGGGAATATATTTCCTTGAATATTTATCTATGTAATAAAGTTCAAATTGGTAAAGCTTAAAATAGCTTAAATATTTTTATCTATGTAATAAAGTTCAAATTGGTTAAGCTTAAAATAGCTTAAATATTGTGGATTTTATTTTCTGTGAAATGAATTAGAATGATTCTAGGATTTTATGTTCATGCTTCATTTATTTTAATCCTTAGATTGTGATTTGTATTTTCCAAGAAACCAAATTCTCCCGAAGATATATGTATGAATAAATATCGTTTAATAATTTTGAATTGGGTTAAGTTAAATTTCGAAGAATCCCATTCAACTCACATTTCCCTTTCATTCCATTTAATCCAAGACTTAATTTTGAATGGATATGAATTAATTTGCTAGAAGTTCGGAACTTGTGATTTAATTTTCTCCAATTGTTTTAGAATGTCTCGCTGAAAGCGTAATGGAAATGGATAAATCTCTATTGTGTTGGTATTTCTATGAGCATTTGAGCAATTTCCCGACTTTGAATTCCCGTGCCAGTAGTCAAGCGGGCAATCATCGAATCACCAGATTCCAATCTCATCCAACCCCCAATCAAATTTCGCTACCTTCCCTTCTTAAGGGCATCCAAACATGGATTTCGGGGAAGCCGTTAAAGGAGCTCCGGCGCTCTAAAAGCAGGCAAACACAATTAATGGGATAAAAAACGAACTCGAACGGGAGTCGCGCACTCTAATTTACTTTATTTTCGGACACGACTCGAGCAAACCAAGTTCCAAGTTCCAAGTGCGTGGACTTAGCAAACGGAAACGGATACTCATGCAACCAAAAGCGGAAATGTTTCGCCAACGACAACCATTCAAACGGTTTAAGAGTGTGTTGGTGTGAATGTATTGGTGTGCCAGTGTATGTGTGTGCACAAAAAAAAGGGACGAAAATAACGACGAGCAAAGCGGATCCACAGACAGGGTCGAATCGTGTCGAGCGGAGCATTTCTAGCATTAAATTTATGTACATGTCATTGGGGGCGTATACGTAACGTGCCCAAGGGCTCGTCGGTATTTTTGTCCGGGTTTTCTTTAGCTTACTTTTCGTGGGCTGGGTGCCCATAAAGTGTTGCGAATTCCTTACCTACCTGCTGCTGCTGCTCGACGCGATTTGATGGCTGAGCTTAAAAAAATATTTGCTGCCGCGCCGCGCCTTAAATCCACACAAATTAAGCCCTAAATTAGAAAGCCATCACTTGAAGTAATTGCCGGGCCGATTTTTATGCTTTATATCTTGCTCTTTATCTTTGCAGTCGCAGCATTTCGAGAACGTGCCCGGCATGCCAACATGATGTAGTAGACCAGACCAGGACTCCTCGCCAGCAAGGACATCTCAACAAAAAAAAAAAAACGCACAGGCTGTTGCGCTGACGATGTTCCATTTCTATTGCCATCGACATCGACTTGTTTGCGCCAGCGGTATGTGTTTAAAATTTCATTTTTATTTTCCCCCTGTTTTTATTTCTCATTTAATGGGGGAGCACTCCCTTGTCCTTTTCGGGAGTCCTGGGGAAAAAGACCCAAAAGCGAACTGCAGTTCTCGGGTGTCCACATGAAACTTTAATTTCATTTTGCATAATTTTCCAAGGTGTGTGGGAAAATGTTCATTAAACACCCGCAGGAATGTTTTCCTCTTAAATGTTTTTTGTTTTAAATTGAGGTAGCTGTCGCTCGGGTGCGATGGCTCCCCAGTTTGGAAGTCCGAATTCTGATGGGACATGAGCCACTGACAATGTGGGTGACTCCGGTGACACGAGTGTGACACCAATTATGCATAATTTTTATGGCAGACCCGACCCGGGCAACAAAACTGGCAAACAACAATAACAACATTATTAATCATGCATGGCGTTTGCCTACGCAGATAATAAACGGCAATGTTGTTGATTGCTGGCAATAGGCAGGCAAATAAGGAAGTCCACTGGAATTAGTTTATTACGAGGGAAAATTGAGGAGATTAACTTTAATTCCCAGTAACTGCGTTTCATATTCAAATTTGTATGTCACCTAACAAAGAGTAATTTTCTCTTAGCTTAATTGGTATATTTTTACTACTGATCATAATAAAGATAATTGGAAAAGCACCAAAAATGCATTTTAAAAAATATTTGAAAAAACATCTAAAATCTGCATTGTATGTTAGACTTAAAAATATTTATAATTTATCTATTGAAGGTGTCAGGGTCAAGTTGCTTTATTTACATATATTTTCTTTTAAGAACTTACTCTTATTTTATTTAAAGTAAAAACTGAAGAGCTTCCCGAAACATTTTGATAAATCTATTTTTGAATGTTTTCCCCTGGGCTCTTTCATTTTTTCGACCTGCGTCATTGAAGCAACACCTAAACTTCGTTTGCTTTATGGGCATTTGCGTTTGTGTTTATTATTATTTTTATCCCCCGCAACTGCCACGCCCACAAGCGGGCCATAACATGAACCGCAAGAACGCCCCTGAGTGGCACATCATCCCTCAATCCCCATCCCGAATGGAATGATAATATTTTTTCCTTGGTTCTGACCGCAGTTTTAATGCGTTTTTCATTGTCTTTTCATCGTCGTCGTCGCCATTGTCGGAACCCATGTCCCTGGTCACGCCCACGTTGGTCGGTTGGTTGCTTGGCCACTTTGGTTTGGGCCTGGCCCTTTTGCATACGGGGAAAAGTCGGAGTGGGAGAAGCCAGAGGATCCGGAGGACCAGAGTCCTTCGACTGAGACTGAGTGGCTCCGGCAAATTGACGTCATGTCATCAATCAATCTTGATGCAGAGCTGCGGGCCGCACGCCAACGCATCATCACAGTTTTGTTCCATCTTTTCATACTTCTACCCCATGACAAGCTGTGAATTTTTTATTTCGCTCGAATCCAAGTTTAGTCGAGCAATTTCAATTTGCTGGCGAGTTCTTTTCTTTCGAGTTTTCAATGGGTTGGCTTTTAACTGCAGACCGACAGTGCGGCTTGATTTATGTTTTTTTAATGAGCCCCTGCCGCTGCTTAGCCATTGTCTGACCAAGCGTGAAAACCACTCCCAAGTTTTTAGCGTTTCAGGCCTTCAAGTGGCGGTCTCTTTGAGCCAGGACAAAGGGTTCAAGGCCGCCGCATTGACCTTTGCCACAATAAATATTCAGACAGCGTCCTCCTCTGGAACAAACAAAACAAGAAAAAAAAAAACGAAGAAATAAATAAATAAATAGCAAATAGAAATCGAATTGCGTCGGGGTGCTGTTAAATTTTAATTGCTTGGCAGGACACGGCCCTCATGGCGTATACTTTATGCATGTGACCAGGAGAAATTGTCGCTGCTAATTTGCCATTTAACAGGGATCCCTGTTGCCACTCCTCCTGTTTTGTGTGAGCCGTGTGCTTTTTTTTTTTTGCCCTGTTTTATTGTTCGGTTATTTTAATTAAAAACTTTGCTCAGCTGACAGTAGCAATTGCTTTCCCCCGTCTCTTAACCCATTATACTGGGTTTTCCTCGCTTTTCCTCGCTTTTGCCTACTCGGCAACTTTCCACCGACTCCGGGTCGAAGTTTCCTGCGCATTTTGGCTGCCTCGAGCAGCGTGTGGCAGCCAGACAAGTCGGCTGTCGAGAGAAGAGCCACTTTGTGCGCGAATCTCCTTTGTCTTGGCCTCGTTTTCCTCTCGCTCCCCAGCGACTTTTGCTATTTTTACGCCGCTAAGCCGCCATTAAAGCCATATGCAAAATATGGCCACGTTAAGATGTGCAAACGCTGGTGGAATGGCGATGGAATGGGCGCAATCTTGTGCCTTTTTTTTTATTTGTTCGCTGCTCTTATGTCACCTTGTTGATGATGTCGGCGACATTCGAAAAACAAAAGCGCAAAGCGGCGGTCCTAATCCCGCTTAACGTTCTGTTGACGTCGCCTTGGCAGCCAAATGGCATCAGGCATTTCGTCACATAAAAATACATGGCCAATATATATGCGGCATACGAAATAATGAAAAATGTATATGGGAGAGGCGGACACAAAAAAGGGTCCTTAACGAAAATAAATCATAAAAAGAGAAGGAAATGAAATACAGATTACTTGCGAACGAAACAAGCCCGCTTTTCGCGGAATTTCGCAGCCAATCGGCTAATGGTTTGTTCCCAAGTTGGTAATGGAATTTTACCAAGGGAATTATGGGCTTTGCTTAAACTTAAAAACAAAGTTGAATTACTACGAAACGAGGTGAGTTATCTCACCTTTTTTAGTTGAAAAAAATTTAAAAGATTATGTTGGGTAAAAAGATGTTAAATAAAAGAAAGTAATGAAACTAAAAGCTTCTAAGTTAAATTCTGGAAAACTGAAAGTAAAGTTGATTATATTCAAACAAGTTAGGTAACTTGATTTTTCAATTAAAAATATTTAAGAAAAAACTACAGATTATTGTAGCTACAGAACAGTAAAATTAATGATGGTAAAACCATACATTTGCATTTTAAAAGGGCTAAAAAACAAAAAAAAATTTTTTTTTAATTTAATTACCAACTAAATTGCATGCATTATGCATAAAATTATAATTTTGTAACTCTTTCTTAACTTTTACAAATACAATGGAATAATAATGGCATAATAATAATATACACTTGCATTTTAAACAACTTAAAGTTTGAAGAGTCGAACTTTTTATTTTAAAGAGTTTCCCACTCTAAAATGCAACCCGAACATTGTTCTCAAACCTTTTTCCCACTGAAACATAGTTGGAATTTTCCGAGGTAGAATGCACCTGACCTTAGCATAAAAATTGCGTGCTCTTTGTGAAAATACCATACTTTTGCGGAGCAACTGGCCCCAACACGTTTTAATTACCGAGCATTTAAGCAAACAAAAGCGTGAATATGCAGTACGAAAATACATTTCCATTGGCCCCACAGAGCGTGTGCATTGCGCATACGCCGCGTACGCCAGCGAAGTCCGTAAATAAGCTGCGGCGTCCTTAATTGCAGACTTTGTAAAAGGGGTGGTGGGTGGTGGGAGGGTAGATTGTGGAGAACACAAAGCGCAATGAAAGCAAACAATAAACCCGGTCGACATTAAGGCCAATGGAGAAAAACATGCAGAACATAACAGAAGCTGCAAAAGCAATTTTTATGATGGTCCCCGGCTAACCCAGTAAAAATGAACTTAAAGCCGGCGAGCCAACGAGTTGGAAACATTGAACGTCTGGCAGGGCCATAACCCATCTTGGCCCTCATCCCTCCACAGTCTGTCATCCCCGCCGGAGATGTTGTGCATTGAGCCGTTCTGGATTTACTTGTAATTTGCAACAATGTTGAGCTCTTGAGAATCTGCTGGTTCCGTCGTTCTGTTGCAACATCTTCGCTTTGCCTCCGTCTTTGTTGTTCGTCGTTTTAACATGTCAAAGCCAAACAAAGCGCCGCTAGAAGCACACATACGCCCTGTTGTACGGGGAGATCTACACCCATTTACCCACTTTCCCCATCCATTTGCCATTAGCACTCCCCGTGGCTTTGATTGGCGTCAAAAAACGCATCAAACGACGGCAAGCAAGGTGACTTTCAAGTTCAGCGAACACGGACAAAGGCGGGGAAATCTCAAAGAAGGCGGGCCAACAAAGGTAACCAACCTTTAAAGACCAATTACTTTGAAATACAATTAAATATGTATATAAATATAAATATGAAGAGTCCATCGACCCAATCAAGTATTTACAACATAAATAATTTCCAAAGAGAGCGATGACATTTATCAAAATCGAAATGTCAAAAAGATAATTGAGTCAAGTTTTTGTAAAAGAGAAGCAAAAATGCTTGTAAAACTGTTTGTGTTTTCTTTATTTGTTTTTGACTTTTATTAAGCTGCCAAAAAATTAAATTTAAACAGTCAGTAAAGTTTTTTTCCATATAATACCCTCCAGCCGAAAAGATAGCTAGCCTAAAATAAAAAAAAAAAAAACTGTTGAAAGTTTTAAGGTCAGTATTTTATAGCCTGAAGCCAATCCTTGCATTAATTGACAGCATAAAGAGTTTATCGAGAGTTTGTACTTAGTTTCGGAGAACAAGCACCAAGAATAAGCGCAATTTGGCCATCGATTTTGAATGAGCCAGGCATGTCTGGAATTTGTAATTAAAACGGGCAGAGGCTCCTTGGTTTGGGTGTTCGAGCGGCAGCCACTTCGAAATTCGAAATTGTTGCAATGTCAAAGGCGACAATTAAACGCTGGCTCGGCCTGTGTGTCTTACCCACTTGGTGGTTTTTGGCCACGCTTAACAATTAGGCCAAATAGAACACACACACACCCGCCCACACACACACACACACACAAAGCACATTAATTATGCATGCGTATGTGTGCGCCGCGCCTCCAATTTCCTGTGCGACATTCCTCATTTGCCGAAAACATTTTTGCGCCACCGCAAATATATTCCATAGACGGAGTGAGTGTGGGAACAGAG